CAGTGGAAAGACCGATGGATTCAGCCTACGTTTTCTGTCAATGTTTATACAAAAATCGTACCAGTTCTGAAAATGCAATCGCCGACTCATTGGCCGAGTCGAGGAATCCAGTCAACTCACCGGTGATGTTGAGGAGGATGTGTTCATTTAGCTAAAAAGGTGGATAGTTATCTTAAACCCCATTTCCACCCCCTTTTAAACTCTGACCCCCGTTCCCGTTTAAAAGATTCGCTGGGTACCCGGGGTGTGGAAAAACTAAAATTTAACCCCCATTTAAAAACCTCAACTTTATTTTTTTTGGTTGAAAATTACATATTATTTTGTGGAATTCAGTTGCGTAACTGATTAGCAAATTAACAATCGTCCAGCAACTGCGACTTAAGGGGGGGGGGGGGGGGCAACCCCATCCATCCCCCACAAAAAAAAAAAATACCCCCCCCCCCCCCCCCCCCCCCCCCCCCCCCCCGCCCGTCCGAACCCCCCCCCCCCCCGGGGCCCAAAAAAAGCCCCCCCCATCTCTTTAAGATTAAGCTGGTTTAACGATAAAAATGAGATACATTTAACGAATTAATGTCGTCTATTCTGCCAACTTACAACTTCTGCCGTCTTTGTTAACTCCTCCAACAACGCCGAGGTCTTGTTCGAAATCTCGAGTGCACTCTATAAATTTCATTCTAAACTCGTTGCCTTAAAAATACGGTTACCTTCTGGATATCCTCAATCCCAGTGATAGAAATAGACATTGTGGCCGTTCAGAAAATGCGGAAATGGGTTGAGTAATCCCTTCCAGAATCATTTTGGCTACTCGGAGGCGACAGGTTCAGCGCTGATAACAGTTCTGTGACTCATAATAATTTAAAGAAATTAAAATGGCGTTTTGTGTGCTGTAATTCTACGAGTGGGCACAGGTGCAGGCCACATGGGATCACAAGACTTAACTTCGAAGCTGATAATTCAAATGGTAAACTTTTGACATTCTCTGGGATCCAAGAATGGCCAATTCACAAAGGAAGGGAGAATAAAGCCGGAAGGGATAAGGATGCTCCCGCAGCCATCCAAAAAGGTTCAAAAATAATTTATGCAGAATTCTGCGGCTTAATTGAAGGGCGATTTCGCTATCAAAACCCCGCCCATTTTCTCATTTCCTTTTTGCCATTTTTTGGGTGCTTCAGAATCTGGGCGCTGCGCTTTTTAACGTGACCCGTTTTAGCCGGTTGGGACCTTGCCAGTTTGTGCTCATGTTGCTACATGGTTATTCGATCTTGCAACTTCGGAAGGTCAGAAGTCAGAGTCCGAACCTTAAATTGGCGCATACCAGTTTATTTAGCAGCATAAAGGCGCGGTGTGGGTGTTGCCCTCCTTTTTTAATTTTACGTTGCTAGGAAAGCAACTACCGAATTTCTGTTATTCGATGGTTTGAAAATGCCTAAACTTTGAGAACTTACAAACCCGCTACGGTATGCCATATCGTATCTCCTGCTTCACATTGAAGGAACCGTCAGCTCGTTAGACAACTTACGAAGATACAACGTCGTTGTGTCTTGCACGGCGTTACGTATCGCGGGTTCCGCCAAATCTTCGGAAGCTCCAGCCAAAAATCCACAAGCTTGCCTTGCGCGTCCCTTTAGAAAATTGCCGTATAGTGAGGTGTAAATGTCGGCTAGATACCCTTCCTTAATGGAATTCGCCTACCCGTAATCACAAAAACTTTAACCGGCCCAAATACTCTTTGCTAATACAATTCCGCGCCCGTTCTGTTTGAATAAAATGTCGCCAGATTTTCGGTCGCGTTTTCGTGCGTACAACGGCTCCCCAAAGGGTTTTTCTGGCATTTGATCGCGAAAGCCAAGTGCCCCTCCTCTTCCCACCCAATGCTCGTTCGCCCCGCCAATCGATCTGCCTTTGAGCACTTTGCTCTCGATCGGGGCTGCTCGGCGGCTCCGCCCAGACAAAGACGTTTTTATATTCCGCAGATCGCAGGCAAAGGGGCTGGGCCGAGAAAACCCGAGCGGGAGAAACCCCGGGGAAACATGGAGAAATCTCGAGGGGCAGAAAACCCTAGCGAAACGAGAGACCGGGGAAATCAGGGAGTGAAAAGACATCTCCAGCCGGGGCCACCCCTCTTATCTTTCCTTACACAGTTAAACGGAGACACGACGGCACAGCACAAACGGACAAACAGACGGGCAGACAGACAGACCGATAGAAACAGACACACCGCGGCTAATACTGTCTTCAACCCCTTCTCCCGTTTGCTGCTGCCCTGTCGTGCCCTATGTGTGTTGCTTTCCCTACCCTCCATCTCAAATAGATTGGCATCGATCCGTTTTTCGGCTCGGGGGATTGCGAGAGTTGAGTAAGGAAATCGTGGGGGTAAGATGATGACATTCTATTTTTGGAATAAATTGGTGTAATAAAAATTTCTGGAATCGAATGGTCTGGATCACGAGGTGAAGGCGGATTCCCGTTTATTAGCTGATTTTTTAAACAATTTTTGATGGCAGCTCATCGAAAAACGAAAGCTATATTTAAATTGTTTCTTGTTGAGCCCTTTCCTTTTATGCTGCGTATTGTAGGTTTCTGGTTTTGTTTTGTCAACTATTTCTACGGCACTGCAATCCAAAATTTATTTGTCGCTTTTTCAAAGCCTCACGAAGAAAATTTGCGCTTGAACGCAATTCAATTTTGAAATTTAGGTTTTGTTTCTGTCCTTGTTTCTTGATTACACTATCTATCTCTCCATCTCGCGCTCTCTCTCGCCTCCTCCCCCTCTCCCTCTCTCTAACAGCTTTTTTACTGGCTTTTCGGCTCCGACCTCTCCGTTTGTCGTCGCTTACAATATCGGAATTTTGTCCAATTCCGTTATTCTGCCATTTTTCTTTAAGCAACTTTTGAATGCTACTGTTTCTGCTCTTATTCAAGTGTATACGCCGTTGATTTCATATACAAAACTTTCAGACATGAACACAGCACCGAAGCCGATAATTTTTGGAAGCACCCTCACTGTACCCACGTCATTTACCCCGCTGCAAGATCCCACTTCGCAAGCATCCAGCTCTTCTGCTGCTAGTACACCTATGGCAAGCCCTGGCGTGGATCTGGAGACTTTGAAGCAGCTACATGCCCTTTTTGCTCAGCATCTTATACCTTTGACAGCCCCGCTCAATATTCCTTCCTCGCAAAACTCTAGTCCGCAGAGCGTCAGGTCGTTGAATCTTCCGAAGTTAGGTGAGTCGTGAGCTATGAAGCTGATAATATTCCTCTTTGTTTGACCCTTTTAAAGAAAGAATATTCTTCAGCGCTTAGTACTTTCTTGCTTTAATGATACCAATAAAAACCCAGGCCATCCCAGCTGCTAGTGGCGAAACATGCTCTGTGCGCTGTCAGCAAACACACTCGCTACGAGACCAAACAAAAGTAAAGTGGTGACTAAGTGTATTCTTTCGTAATTTGTCGGACAAAGATTAATTTAGTTTTTCCAGAAATAAAAGAAAAACCGGTAACGCCACAGTCTGAGGTCGCATCTCCAGTAAGACCAAAGGCAAAAGTGAGACCAAGCGGGCGGCCGCCAAAATATTTGGCCGAGGCGAATGTGTTGGTGGATATTATGGACGATTCACCGGTTGGTTTTATCAAGCTTTTGCTCGGTTGCTCTCTCTCTCTCTCGTCATATCATTCTTTCACTCCACTTGCCTAGCTCTCTTTCCTAATTTACATACACATAAACTTCTCCTAATGGTTTCACCGCTACCCTTTCTCGCTTCTCTCTCTCTCTCTCTCTCTCTCTCTCTCTCTCTATTCTTCCTCGGCTGTTACCAAATTTGCATGCATTCGCCATAAAGTGTTCCCGTTCGCTGCGCTATCCTGCATCCTGCGAGTTCGAAATTTCCGAAATTCGGTTTCAATTCCGCTCTTTTTCTCTCACTTTCACTCCGCTCTTGCTCCCTCTCTCGCTTTCTATCTCCTTCTCTCCTGCTTCTCCTCTATATCCTGCAAATTTTCCACCTCGCTCCATCCTTCCATGCCTCCATAAAACCAGCGAGACCATTTTGACTGGCTAATATTGCCCTCACAACGATTTCTTCGCTAACCAATTCGCCATTTATCAGCACGGCTACGTCGAGACGACGCCCCAGATTAGAAAACTGCGGCAGAATCTCGCCACCCAGCAGTGCCGCCTCAATCGGGAGCGAAACGTCCGATCGATAATGTGAGTTGGAAGGCGAAGGCACAATGAAATATCCTCCTGAATTCACTGGCAGAAGAGGGAGAGCCCATTTTGCGGTGATAAGGGAAATGATTGCATCGCCGGGGGTGGCTGTTTGCTTGCATTCGAAGACGCAAACGGTCTACACAAAAATTTGGGGTCACGGGGGATTCAGGGAACGAAAATTTCCGCTTACGAAAATCTCGATTTAGGATTTTCGACCAAATCAAAGTTTCGGTTGACAGTTCAGAATAATTCCAGAAATAACAAAAATATTTGAGAACCACCCTTTTTTCCAGTTATCAACTCTCAACCGTTGTGGACAGATGGCAAAAACTCAGGAAAACGGACGCCTGCCAGAAATGTGATCAAATATTTGAAGGCAAGAAATGGTATATAATTTTCTCAAGCGGATTTTAGGTATCGACGGGTCCTTCCTGACGATGCTACACGACGAGGTGGAACGGGAAAAGAAGCGGGCGGAGCGGAAACACCGAAGCGCCGTCGAAATTGCCACCTCCACCGCCACATTGAAAAATTTGTTACGATAGGCCGTGGCTATAATAGGACATCGAAAAAAGAAAGAAGCAATAAATTGTCTGTGTATTTGGTCAGGCGATACATAGAGAAAAAGCAGAAAATTCAATGGGTTGCTGATTCCAATTAAGGTACCCAACCCTTATCCCAATCAAAAATGTTCAAAAAGGTCAGTTTGGATTTTTTTGAGGATTTTAGTACATTAGCACCATTTTTTATTATCGATTTTACTAAGTTCATAAACAGGATTATTTTATCGCCTAAAATGTGAATTCGGGAAAATCCTTCTCAAAATCACCGACAACTGCTCGCGGTCCATGGATGCAAACATGGAAGGGGGCATTGAAGCGGACACGACAGCTGGGCCGGTTGGAGGTTCCTAAAATTGAGATTTAAAATGGATTTCTTGCTCTCCCACTCTCTCTCTATCACTCTCTCTCTTCTCTCTTACAAGAGAATAAACCTACCGTATTCCCACCCACATCCGGCCGAGGCGTAACAATATTATAAATTGAGGAGGTTTTCCGGAATACCTAAAATTTACGGTTTTCGGTTGCGAGCCTATTTTCCCTACCTGAATATCAGATTTCGAAGAGACTTTCTCTTCAATTTGCGTCGTCTCGGAGGTGACCATCGTCGAGGGTACGGTAGAATATTCGAGCGGGTTTTGGGTGGTTTCGATTAGTATTGGGAATCCAGTACTGGACGTTTGGGTTGAGGTCGGAGTGGTCTAAAACAAGCAATGTTTGATGTATGTAAAGTAAATCTACCGTAGTCACCATTTCGATGCGACTCGAAAGGGGCATCGCCTTTGTCGTCGTGGTTCGGGTTGTGGCTGTTGTCGGAGCTGATTCGGTTTCTAAAAATAGCGATTAAGGAAGCCTTCGACTTATTTAATTTACTAAATGGAGGTTTCTCCATATATACCGTTAAATCTGTTTATTAAGGTATTTTAATACCGCCCTATCCAAAACATAAAAACAGTATTCCCACCAGAAGAGCAAGCAATCGGCTGCAAGTCCGGATCAATGCCATCTGGACTGTTGCATTTCTGTTTCCAGATGGCACCGAGTTCCCTAGAAATTTTCATCAAGTTAACCAATGCTTATTTAACACAAAATTTAGGTCCTATCCGTATTTTCCGATACACACTTTTTAGCATTCAACGACAATCGATTAATCACGGCCATCTTTTGCTTGCGCAAGTCTTCCAATCGATTAATTGCCAGGCGAGCTTCGGCTGAGAGGGCGGCTACCTGAAAACAGTTTAAATAGTTACGGTGTGGTTTCACAATTTATGTCCATTATTTTTGGGGTCGATATTGCATTTTTGAGGGGCTCTGGGTTATGATAGGGGAATAAGCAGATTTTTTAGAAAAAGCTGAGCAAAACCTGATCCTGGTTTTTTGGTAGAGTGACGGGAAACTGAAAACTTTATCGAAGTAGGAGGCAGAGAGAGAGAGAGAGAGAGAGAGAGGGAGAGAGAGAAAGAGAGAGAGAAAGAGATACCGCTCGATATCCCAATACCTTCTCCTGAAATCGGCTAGCCTTTGCCGTCAAGAAACGTAGCGTCTGCTCGAAGCGAGCCTGAGCTTTTGGCTCCAAATGATCCACAGCCCAGGCCTTCAATAGTTCAATCCTTTCCGGTTCTTCGATGCGCCCATCCGAAGTTAGCTAAAAATATTAGAAGTAAGGTACCGTAAATACCTTCGTCAATTGTTCCTGCTGCTCGCTTGTCAAAGAGGCTAAAAAAGGGGTGCCGGGTAGTAGAGCAGCGGTTGACGGGGTGTATCTCTAGAAAGTAATATCATTTTCTAAGAAAAAATCTTGGCCCCTACGGGATTTTTAAAAGCTTTTTCTCGAATCTCCATTGGAAGGCCCTCGAGGATAGCTTTGGTTTGGCGGAGTTCCCTAAAATTCATTGGATTTTAAAGGATTAGGGAAGGGCAAAAATTGGCTTCTTCTGTTGGCTAGGTCTCCACATTTCGCTCCAAAACACAGGTAAAATTTAGGGCTGTGAGACCAGAGCCAAAAGCGTTGGGCGATTTTCGGGCATCCTAACCTTTTCAAAAGGGAGAGTGACAACAAGTCGTAACTTATACAAATTTTCAAAAATCTAGTATTTTCAAATTTTTTAAAAATCTATTTTAAAATAATAAGCAAAAAAATTTACTCACATAGCACAGGACTTCGAGCCGAGCGGAAAATTCGCCCAAACACGCCGCAAATTCCGGCGATACTGTAGTGGTAGCGCATTTGTGAAAGAGGGCAGTCCGCATTCAGTATTCCCACGATCGTTCATCACCTAGAAAAACTATTTTCGAAGTTCCGATGATTCTTGTAGCAAAAATTTGCGTTCGCTTACCCCTTCAATGTAATGTGGAACCGCGACTCCGACGAGAACTTCGTCAAGGTTGAGGGAGCTGACAATCGGAAGGAGTATGGCCAGGAATACGGTATCAGCGCTTTTCATTCTGGAAAATAAAACCGGTTTTCCGGAAAAATTGCAAAAAGTTTACGATTTTTTTGAAAAATAAAGTGTAAAGTATGAAACATCCTATAAAAAGCTAATGGTTCTAGTGGAAAGACATAATCTAGCCTGGCGCAAAATCAAGAAAACGCGTTATAGTTTCGGTATGTGAAAGCACAACTTTTTGAATTTTTGCAGTTTTAAGTTATTCAAATATAGCAAAAAAGAATGAAAAACTTTGCGAATTAGAAAAGTTTGTTCCTTCAAATATGGGAAGCAAAAGAAGACAATCAGGGCAAGTACAATCCATTCCAAACAACGGCCTGCCCCTCAGGGCCTCAATTCGAGGCCGCCAATAATCCCCCGGACGATCTGAATTGGACCAAGCCCCGAGGGGGTTAGAAAGACAGTGTGTTCGTGGGTGTGTGCATGTTTGTTTGTTTCTGAGTTGCTCTCTCTCTCTCTCTCTCTCTCTCTCTCTCTCCATACCTCGGATGGTGTGTGAGGGGTGTTGTTTGCAGCTTGTGCAATCAATCCACTTGTATTCCCATTGTGAGGCCGGCTTTGTCGAATCGGGAGGGGGAGTCGTCTTCTTCTTCAGTGCTTCTCATCCTCCTCCTCATGGTCGACTCAAGAAGCCTGGGAATGGCCCCTGGGGCCCACCCGAATGACAGGAGCACCGAGGAGGGCCATGCGCTCGGTTTCTTCAACCAGAGAAAGCAAGGGATGGTATTTTAAAGCGACTCCGACAGCCGGAGTCTCATTCCTAATATCGAGCGAGAGAGAGAGAGGGAGATTGACAGAGAGAGAGGGAGAGAGAGAGAGAGAGAGAGAGAGAGAGAGAGAGAGAGAGGAGAGAGAGAGAGGGGAGAGAGAGAGAGAGAGAGAGAGAGAGAGAGAGAGCAAGGAGAAGAAATGAGACTCTTGGTTTTTAAGCTTCCTGAGAATCGCTCAGGTCACCTAGAGGCAAGCTAGCAAAATATTTCGGAATTGGCTGATCTATCAGCATCCGTTTACAACCTATTTTTGTCTTTATCGCCCCTTTAAACTTCCAAAATTTTCCCAAATGCCAGAGGTCAGTCCTGCAACCCCTCGACCCCGCGATTTGCAGTGATTTAATGTGGATTCTGCCAGCTGGCGCGTTCGGATCACGAAAACAAATCGAAGGAGGTATGCCAGTGCCCCCCGAGAGACATAATATTCCGGGCGGCTCCAATGTGTGCATGTCAGCGAAATTAGTCCGCAGCGGGGTCGATTGAAAATTGGCAGCTCCTCGCACTTGTGCTGATTTCTTGACCTTTGCGATGCCCTTTCTGGGGATTCGATTCCGGTCGAAGAGCGTCAGGGTTGAACCGGATGAAGTTGTGGTGAGTTACGAACATTTTCGATTTTTTAAGGGCTGACTAATGAGGACTAATGGCAAAATATCAATCATACCCTTAAACGAGGCCAAATAACCTAGAAAAATACCGAAATCTACAATTTATTGATCATTCCTATTTGGTTATCAAACACGCCAAAATCCCAAAAATACTTCAGGTTCAAGAATTCCCGCATATCATAAATTTTCTCAAATGGTCTTGCTAGGCCGCCAACAACCGTAAATAAAGTGCAATTCAAATTAAAATTGAAAATGAAAGTTTCTATGGCAAGCTAGCAGAGATTCTTTAAGAGTCCATCGTTTTAAGGTAACGTGAAAATAGACCTGTTGCATTGCCTAGATTTGCCAATTTAAATGGGCGGGCAAGGAATAGAAGCGGATGGTGGATTTATGCATTTCGTAAATGTGGTATGGATTTTGGCGAAAAACCTAAATTTCGAAAAATCCTAATCATGCCATGCCTTTCTTAATTAAAACGCGTAATAAATTAAGGTCCAGCGGGTCTTGGAGTAAACGGTCAAGACTTAGTGGAGGTACCGGGTGCGATTCCCGGGCTGGGACTAGCGTGTGGAACTCATAAAGAACCCTTCAAAGAAACTCCATAAGCATGCCTTGCAAAAACCGTCCTTTTAAAATGACGTTTTAAAGTCTCTAGTGTCGAGAAAGTCGACGGAAGGATACTCAGCTTCCAAGTCCCTTGAAAATCCCCATAACACGCCGAACCATGAGTCCATTCGTTTCCCGTTAACGGATTGACCGGGTGGGTCATGTTTGCCGTCAAATGGTATGGCCGCGTAGTGAGTCTCCCACAGTCCGTCAGTCAACCACCCACCCTTATAAGGCAAACAAATACCCCTTCTCCCCCAACCCCCAGGGCATCGAGCTAGCTGGCTTTTGTCCCATTTGCCGGCTAGTCTCTTCTTATTCGGTCGATAATCTGGCTCAAAGCTACACCGGAAACTGGAACAGGATGGATTATTATTACTACCCGTACCGTTCTTTCCATTTACCTGGGACCGCGCGGCATTTTTGGGTAAGATTTTCGATATTTTAAGGTATACCTCTGACAGCTGACTTGTCGCTTTCGGACTGGATTTTCTTAATTAAGGGTTTTATTAAATTTATTAATTTTATTAGTTCTACGCAAAATCACTATGTTTTTTTTCTCCGATTTCCCTGATGAACCCAGCTAGCCTTCTTATTAATATAGAAAAATTTTTTAAAGGGAGATACGATCGAATTTTTCTCTAAAAAACTCTGCAAGTTTGCCTGTCATCTTGAATTTCATTGGTGTATCAACAACCATGACTCTCATCTTTTCGAATTTTAAGGTATTCCCAAAAAGTCTCTGCTGGACTGCCCTTTGGTTTGACCGTTGCATTAATTAGCAGCCGACTCTTTCCTTACCAAGATCACAATTCTCTTAAAGAAAACTGCTAGCTGCCCTTTGCCTAAATATACTCTGCTAACTTAGCCAACTATACCACCTATTAGTGCATCCATTTTACAAATATCATGCCTGAAACCCTGTTAGCTCACCAGCGGCTTTGTTTTGCATTAATGCCGTAATTTTACGACACCAATTTCGATCAATATTGCGATGGATTCCCCAAAAAATTTCTGCTAGCCTGCCTAAAGATTTTATAAAATCCACTTGGCATTTTTGCAAAAATAAGAACGTCTTTTCCTTGATTCCATTCTCCCTTTATGCAAATTATCCAAATCTCGCCGGCCAGAAATCATCCGTTCCCCCAGTTGGCCCCACGAGGGCTGTAAGCCAGGGGGAACGCTTGCTAGATCCCGCAACGAATTACAGCGGCTGCCAACCAGTGGAACGGGATGCGCATAGAGAGAGAGCAAGACAAGACAAATGTCTCTCTGCATGCAAATGAATGCCCTGTCGCTGAAAGTTTATCTTCCCCTCCCTTTCACACCTACCAACGGCCCGCCAGCCGGGCCATGGGGGAGATTTGCATGGTTTTCACGGATTCTCTAAGCATTTCCGCCGGATTGCCTGGGTCTTAAGTGATTTTTTGATCTTTTTAAGGGAGTTTGCAAGACGTCAAGATTAATTCGGGTTTTTTTTGCAGGTTTCCAACTAACTTAAAATGTGGCAATTGTTTTTCAGAAAATTCCTACCTATCTTTTTCTGAGGGTTTCTGACAGATTGCCAGGGTTTTCTTGCAGTCATTTCTGGTAATTTTAAAAGAATTTGCAAGGCAAACGGCTAGTTCTTGTTTATTATTTTTTGGCCATTTTACTGAATTATTAGCATTCTTCTTGAAGTTTTGGCTGAACACTACACTGGATCAAGTTAGCTGCTGGTCTGGTGTTTTAATGGCAAGTCGTTTATTGCCTCTATTTTTTTTCTAAAATGTCATAAACTCTCGATAGATTTTAGAACTTAAGATTTTTGGAATTTTTGGTTTTATGGCGCTTTTAATTAAAAAGCATTTTCATTATGTATTATGAATATGTGAAAAATTATGTTCCCCGATTTTCGATCCATCTGAAAGCACGTATAAATTAATAAAAGACCCAGTCAGGTTCTGAATGAATCCGATGAATTTTATATAAGGTCATCTTCTACAAAATTCCTATAAAAAAATTGCTTTTAAATTGCGTCCCTGCCTGCGGCCGCAATTTAGCTAATCGTTTTGATCACCGACGCTCTAAAGAAAAATTAAGTTCAGAGAACAGCAGAATTTTGCTATTAAAATTCATCCCCTCTGCTTTGTCCCTACCGCTTCAATATTCATCCTCGTATTTCCGCATTCTGCTCTCTCCTGGAAGAAAGTGACCCCGTTTTCCATTTCAGCGCATTATCGTTGCCATTTCGCAGGGTGGATCATTTTCACTAGATGACCTTATTTTCCCTCAGATTCCGTTACGTTCCGTTACGGGAATATGGAAATTTGGAGAGTGAGATTAGCAGATATGGTTGATAATGATAACGGGGGTGATAATGAAGTGTTGCGATCGAGGGGATAAGTTCGGGATTCCGGCTCTTATACGATTTATCATTTCTTAGGGGTATTTGAAAGTGGCCTCTTTCTAAATCATTTTTACTCATTTTTACCTCCATCAAGCTTGCAAATAGAAGTTTTTCACATGCTCCTTAGAAATTTTTTTTGTAAACGCAATTGAAAATTAGAAAAGTTATGCTAGACGTACGGTAATTTAAAAACTACGTTTTTGTAATTGAATTTTTATAATAATTAATAAATTCTCCGTTAGTAAATTTTTTTTGCAATTTTCTAAAAACATTTAAGTCACAATATTTAATTTTAAGTTAGATTTGGCTTTTTTAGTTCTTTGGCAGCTTCAAAACCCCTACTTAGTTAACAATTTTTAATTTAAAATTCGTGTTAAAAACTTACATGTGAATGCATAAATTTACGAGTATTTAAATATTTAAAGTAATCATTATTTAAAAAATATCCACATTTTTTCAAAAGTTTAAAAAATTCTGTATTTTTGAGGTCTTTCCGGGTTATTTAAATTTTCTATACCACGATTCCATCAAAATTAACACCTGATTTTTCCTATTATTCTTCTACCTTCCCCCGTAATTAGGTATTTCCGCCTAGTGTTGTCAAACGGAACCCGTAAGTGGACGGAA